TTCACGTTAGTTTAGTGTGATTCGCCTTTGTTCTGTTCACCACTTAACAGTAATTTGTCATTTGAGCGTACCAAATTGTATACTATTAGGTGACACATCTGTATTCCTACATTCTCATTGGTTATATCATAATCAGGTGGAGGTCGGTGATTTGTGTTTTAGAAAGAGGCGGCTTATATTCTATTATGATGTCACTTCAATTGTAACTTCATAATGCCCTCTGCAAATGCAGTACTTTTTGCTTGGTGATTTTCTCATGTTCCCTCTTGTTTAATGATAAAAAAATCATCACAATTTCATATTTGATATAACAATTAAATACCTTTATTTCGGTGAATATGTGGTAAATTAGCCTTAAAAGTGATATTAACCTCCAAATTGTCTTGGTTAGTATCACTTTTTGCAGGTCCATATTACCACATATACCTTCACAAAAGTCCATAATTGGTAATGATCATAAAACGTTTACTAAAATTCCTGTCGTTACTTTTAGCTTATTCAAACAAAAAGATGAAACCTTGACCACACAACAATTATTCAAAATCAAAATCAATGCCATTAGGGCGAAATAGGAACAAAACAAAGGTTTTCATGGAGATCCTTGTAAACGGGTAAAATAATTTACAATTATTAGAAAAGAGACCGTTGCCTGACAGACAATATTTCACAAATTTAAATATTTATGTTTAACGAGCATAAACCAGGGAATAACATTTGATGGACAAAATTCAATATATCCACTGAACCGCAAAATGTTGTTTTTCTTTTAACTTTTTCGAGAATATGGAAGCACCAATACGCATTTTTATATTTCAAAATAATGAAGATGTTTGAATATCGTGTATTAACTACTGTTAGCAAAGGAAACTGTTTCTCTAAGTGTTTTGTCAATGTGTTCCATGATCATTAAACCAATCAGGATTCATGAAAACAAACATGTCTTCCCTCTTCTTCTTTTTATTCTCTCATAATTACCTCCTATCTAGGAGAATTACATACAAAACTGAACTCGAATGGAAAGTACTACAACCGTAGTTATCTCCCTATGTATGTCATTGTGTAATATACATAATATCCCCCTACAAAACAGATGGTCTCCATGCTTCCTTTCTTTATATTTTGCACTTATTCTATCGATATTTAGTTGGAATTATGGACTGTTGCGACACTTTCTACTTATCCCCGGTGCATACTATTAACAAGAAGTCATATAACCCCCATTAAAATAACCCCTACTTTTGTCTAATTTGATTCATTTTTTTCTTGGTAGGTTTTTTCGTCGTTTTACCTATTTTGAGCGTTTCAAATTGAACACCAGTAGAAATGCAAAGTATTTAAGACATAATACGAATGTTGCCGTGGTATACTGGTAATTGAAAGATATGAATATGACTAGAATTCGACACTTCTAAGACTGTCATACTTTATGTCGTGGAAAATTGTTTTCTATATTTCTATTTATTCATTTATTTTAGAACAGAAGCGTATCAATTAGGATATTTGTTAGGAGATTGAGCTTAATAACAAACTATTTAGCGGTGTATGTCTGAACTAATAGTAGGATATACATCCATAAACATATCGCATCAATTTTGTCTACTTTTCTAAATGACAAGAAAATTGCGATTTACTTTTCCATGACAAAATTATAAAACGGTACTGGGATGTTTCCAAGATTACTTTTTTAACTTGAGATTTGTAGAAGGCCTAGGGTGAGCAACTCTTATTTTATTTTCGCAAATCCATATAACAGATTCAGATGTAAGTCATGCCGTTTGCAGTCGAAGGGAGGCAACTCCTGTAAGTTACGCAGATCCCCTTTTAGCGTACATAAATACATGTGCACCGAACAAATTAGGTTTCAACTTATTAAGCACCTTGATGGATCTCGCGTTTGTATTGTACTTTAAGTGTAATTGGCGATATATACATACTTTTTAAGACGGATACCACAATTTGAATATTACGGATATCTTTATATTCGATACCTATAAAAAATGATATTATGTAAAATAGAATATGTTTTTATTAAGATTTTTTTTATTAGTTTAACAAATAAAATTGCTTTACTACGAACTGAAAAGGTCAAAGATCATGAACCGTCCATGGATAAACGTATGTCAGCATATTCTTTATGATTTGGTTATTGCATGTGTCTCACTTTCGTTAAGACAGCTTTAAAAATGACACAATCATCTTTTCCTTGGTCACTTTTAAAAACTAACTAAGACATTAGAGATGAATATGATCACCGACCGTCGCTCTAGTTTATGAACCAATATTTAAGCTCCCCTAGTTCGGAGGGGGCGTTTGGTTACTGCCTTCTCTGTGTTTATCAAACATGGACGACATGGCCCCTTATTAATTTAGTAATACGTAATTATTATTGATTTGCCTTGTTAAAGTAGTAGTTATTTGGTGTTGATCATTTAGGTTGCATCCTCACGAAACTGTGATTACGGACGATAGGTGTCAATAACTGCGCATGTCTATTGCTGTTGTCATCATTCTTTATGTAAACCATTATGAATCATTCGGAAAGATAAGAATTATGACACATATTTGGAAAATTTCTGAGACAATTGAAAATATCGAGACAATACTATAAGCACTGGCACTTTTCATATCGACTTTTGCTCCGTGTAATACTTAACGGAATAAATGAGTTTAAGCTTTCAGAAACAGAGCTGAACTCACTGGTATATCTGTAAATGTCATTGAGATGTGCCTCATCCGTTCAGTTTATGTAGGAAACTAACGACATCGCCTTAGATTAAATGTATTTATACAATTTTGTTTCACCTCTATTTCTACTTTCATTTGAAAGACATCAAAATAGTCTCAAAATATGAATTGATTTTGAAAATTAAGACATGTCCTTGTAAAAAACCAAAAAGAGAATAACAAATTGTCAACAAAACCATAATTCAAACTTATATATTTCTATGAGAATATGAAGAGGTATTCCGAAGAAACATATATTTCTATGAGAATATGAAGAGGTGTTCCGAAGAAACTTATATATTTCTATGAGAATATGAAGAAGTGTTCCGAAGAAACTTATATATTTCTATGATAATATGAAGAGGTGTTCCGAAGAAACTTATATATTTCTATGAGAATATGAAGAGGAGTTCAGAAGAAACTTATATATTGCTATGAGAATATGAAGAGGGGTTCAGAAGAAACTTATATATTGCTATGAGAATATGAAGAAGTGTTCCGCAGAAACTTATATATTTCTTCGAGAATATGAAGAGGTGTTCCGAAGAAATAACGGGTTTATGCTTCAACGACGACATCTGCCAAAACCACTAGGTACACGTATGTGCATAAAACACACTGACCATCATATTACACAAAGAAGTCGCCCTATGAGATCATGATGGCTACTCAAATTCTTTATACTCATCAACAGGCATCTATGGAAACCCTGTAGTCGACATATATCAAAGAAGTCATGATGTTCGGAGCAAGTTCCTGAACACCGAATCAACTGCGACATGTAAACACCGTAGGAAGAGGCAGCAGGGATGTTGCTATCAAGAAAGGGATATATCATGATCGGAAAGTCAAAATCGACCCGCTTATCGTACGGTCTATCAGTAAGACGTCCCTATTGGTTATGTTGCAAGAGCAAATGGAGGAGAGCGGCTGAAGTAAAAGGGTCTCATGTGTCCTTGATGTCCAGCTCAGCAGGGTATATACAATTGATGTAGTCAGTGACCTTTTTTGTTATCTCAAGACAGCATATCGTCGATATTTCTGAATAAGAAATTGGAGGACTTGGCTAGGTGTTTGTTACTAGTCCTGATAAGCTCATCAATAGCCTCAGCCTCATATGAAAACACAAACAAGTCGGCCCGAAGAGGGACACAGTGAATGCCTACAGTCGGCTGGAAAATCTTGCCACCAAACTCAACAAAGATATCGTCAACCGGGAACTTATTCACTCTCACCATTTCATCAACGGTGTCTTTTATTATGACATTTGTTGTAATTGTCACAACATCAACTCCAAAATAATTTACAACTATCAGTAATATTTTCACAAACTACAATGGACGGAATGCAATTAAGTGTGATGAAATCATACAGGCGTCTTCTTTCTTATCTTTACAGTTTTTAAAAAAACAGTTTCTTCGTTCGCTTGTGTGCGGTGTAACATCCTCGCATATTGGGACGGGTGCCTCGGGAGACACCGCCGGAAACAGAAACTAGATGGAAAAGAAAGAAGACCGGAAATATAGGGAACGAAAAAGATCTTATATGTTGCAATGGGTGCAGCAGATCAATGTTATTGTATACGTGTTCTCGTAGTAGAAGACACAGACGAAACCCCCGATTCTACAGGGGCCCCACATTAGTCGCCTTATACGATACACATACAGTGGGTTACAGTGTTCTACAGTGTTCTTTCCCCCGAACATGCACGGGTTTATTTAAGAACAATGGTATTAACACCCTTACGCTATATCTCTAGTAATTTCTTTGCGTATAGGTATTTCATTCTATTCTGCAGGTAAATTATCAGTGCCGGAGATTAATCGTTGACACTGTAGCTAGACATTTATTTTGTGTGGCTGACTGCATCGCCGAACTAAAAAATAAATGATATCAATATAAATATTTAATATGTGAATTTATAAATACTTTCTCAACTTCAAACTAAATGACCTTAGCTGTTTTAAAATAGGACGTTAAACAAAATAAAACCAAACCAAACTAAATCAACTTCGAACGCTTTCTAGTAGAAAGTACGTTTACAACAACAAAAGTAGTCGTAGTCTAAATAACAACCATGTATAATTGAGAATATGGTACCATTAAAAGTGTACACATACGTTAATTGACAATTTTTTCACAATATGTAAGTATTGTTGTTATACACAAACATTGCTTCAGACTATTCAATTCATAATTGACGTTATCGACCAACACCTGATAATTTCCCATACAAGGTCATTTCATATCTTACACAGTCGCACACAATCTACAATTATACAAACATTGTTCCACTTGCTTCGTTCGTAAGAAATAATGATCGGAAAACTATGTTTCCTATGCAGTTTTCTTTTTTTTGTATCTTTGTCGGGTACAATCGGAAGAAAATATGAGAGATAAAAGGATATTACTGTCTGACCCTAGCTATATACAGCAAGAACTTCATGACATTCAGGCCAAACTACAGGAATACGAGCAGATGAAATCAGAATTCGTTGGGTTACAGACAAAGTCATCTTCACAGGCGGCAGAAATCAGCACTTTGAAATCCCAGCTAGCGACAGGTAGTTTATTTCTTATGAATATTTATAAACATGGACTAGGAAGTAATTTTATCACTGTAGATATTAAAATTACATTAACATTACGGTGGCCAAGTGGTTAAGACGTCTGACATTCTGCTACTACTAGTCCTCCACCACTGGATCCAGGGTTCGAGACCTACGGGGCAGTCGCCAGGTGCTGGTCGTCGGTCGGTGGTTTTTCTCCGGGATTTCCGGCTTTCCTCCCCCACCACCTCAACCACCACCACCACCACCACCACCCGGCACGTCCTTAAATAACCATAGCTGTTAATAGGACGTAAAACACAAACAAAACAAACCAAATAATATAAAATATCAAGACCCAGACCATTAGAATAAAACTGCAGTAATGTATACAGTATTTCCAATTGTATTTCGTATTTTCGAACCCCGAACCCGTATTCATTAAACCATTCTCATGCTCAAGCACGGATTCTGTACTCAAACCAGTTTTGAATGGTCAAAAAGTCTAGTGTTAACACAGGACACAGCATTCGGCTTTAACTCTCAGGCTTGAGCACAAAATCCATGCTTGAACATGAATTTCACACAGTTTCATGAATTGCGGGCCCTAATCTTGCCCCGTGCAATTTTACTCACAGAACTCTGTTGTTGATTTGTTTTCAACTTTATTATATTTTTCTGAAAAGGTCCTCTTAGTGTCTGTTTCTTTTCAAGAATGTTTTTCTTCACAGCTACTGTCTCAGGCAAGTAAAATGCATTCAAATGTGAAGTTACAGTTTTTAAAGTGGTATGGAAACCCCTTACACTACTGCTATCACTTTTGCAAGTAACAAGGGCGCTGTATATGTCCGGTGGGGGAGGAAAGACTGCCCAGCAGATAACACAACAGAGCTCGTATACTCAGGTAAGACTAACGCGATACTACACCATCAGTGTCACCTATCGATAGGTTCCTTTGGTATTCCGTCTTTGCGTATTGCAGAGTTATCTTCTCTTGGGAGCAGGTATTGATTGTTACGTCACTTGTTTGTGAGAGTAACGTCATCACTTTTTTAGAAAACGACGTCATTTTCTCACACAAACCAATGACGTAACAATCAATCCCTGCTCCAAAGAGAAGATAACTCTGCAATACGCAAAGACGGAATACCAATGTTTTTTCTTTGAAAAGTCAAATCACTACCATGTGGTCTGGTTTTAGTATCATACCACGTAACACCTCGGCGACCATCTTGTTGCGCAATTGTATCCTGAATTTTATCTTATATCATTACATATATATATATATATATATTAACGATTAGAAAATCCCCGTATGTGGTATATTTAAAAAACATACAATATGGCGGCCATATTGTTTTTCATTTATGAAAACAAATTATATAAATATCATGCACATTAACCCCGATTCATAGCAATATTCCAAACTGGCTTAATAAACATATTATTTATATCTTTTACGATATTTGAATTTGATAATATTTAAAATTGTAACATACGAAAGATTGACGTGTTTGTCAACCGTAGTGTATAAGATGTTATTTCGTCCTTGTTTCTCGATTTTCTCCTGTTCATATCCTTTCTTATATAGCGTGTGACTTCAAAGTTCCCGAATAACAGCATGATCTACACCTCAATTTTGATTTCATGAGCATGATGCATGGTCATCATGTCCTTTTTGTTGATATACAGGTTATACGGGTGGTTCGTATTATGACAGTACCGGGGCGGCTTCCAATTATGTATGCCTGCCCCCTGATCCCTTATGGGGACCACATAAAAACTTACGAAGCTACCAACCTGCCTACATGTATGGAACTGAGTACGAGGATCCAACTCTGTTCGGTGTGAACGACTACAGTGAAGATGCACCTTGTGCAGTCTGCCGAACATCCGAACACTCGACGTCTGTGATGATTCCTGCCCGAACCGAATGCTATGCCGGATGGGAGAAAGCCTATTATGGGAGTCTTTCAGCAAATGATGCCAATCATAAGGCTGCATCAGAGTACGTATGTGTCGACGAACATCCACAAGCATTAACCGGTGGAAGCAGAAATGACAACGGAAAGCTGTTTTATCAGGTGCGAACCGTGTGTGGCCCTCTGCAATGTCCGCCTTACGAACACGACAAGGTTCTATCTTGTGTTGTGTGTCTAAAATAAAGGTACCTGTGCCAGTGTACCTGAATAACCGTCAAAATGTGTAGTCTTACATGAAATAAAACGAACCCTGGTTCTCCCTTACTCCGACAGTCTTCTAATATACTTGATAGGGGAATAAAACGGATATTGAAAAAAATAATTGTGTTTCTCTTTTCCTTGTTACTTTCACTTTTGATTTTGTTGTTTTATTCAGTTGTATTTGTATGCGTGTTTTGCTTGTTGTTTTATTTTTGTTTGTTTTGTAGTTTTATTTTATTGTAGATTTGAAAATACGGTAGTTTAGGATCGGGATGAAGGGGAAATGCGGGAAGTTGATTTTCGTTTAAATCATTCCCGGACTTATGGAAATGAATTTTCTTTAAAAGAATCCCCCTTCCCCGATATGTCTCAAGGCCTAATAGGAGAAATATAGACAAACATTTAAAAGACTATTCCTTAATGCACACCGAATGTGTTTCTCTCTCTCTCTTACTTTGCGTACAATATCTCTTGGCGTAAGGAGTTCAATTCAGTATAAGTTATTGAAGTGTGGGGAGGCAGATGGGCGTGGCAAATGTGGATATAGGGGTAACTTCCTACCGACCACAACTAAATGTTTACTTTGAAACTTTCCTAGGGAATATATATTGTATACATTATGCGTATGACTTCTCTTGGAACATATCGATGTGATCCTATACTGAGTATGAGAAAAAGGGACTGACCCTATGTTGATTCTTTTTTATAGACTACAGTGATCTATGACTGGCAGACACTTGTTCAACCTCTTTGCAGTACTTCGCAACCTTATTTGGATACTGCAAAAATGGAAACCTTTGCGTGCGAAAATGTTCGCGTTGTCGTTTTTTACATTGATCGCGCGCAGTATGGAAATGTTCGCGTTGTCGTTCTTTACAATAATCGCGCGCAGTATGGAAATGTTCGCGTTGTCGTTCTTTACAATGATCGCGCGCAGTATGAACATGTTCGGGTTGTCGTTCTTTACAATGATCGCGCGAAGTATGGAAATGTTCGCGTCGTCGTTCTGTACAATGATCGCGCGAAGTATGGAAATGTTCGCGTCATCGTTCTGTACAACGATCGCGCGCAGTATGGAAATGTTCGCGTTGTCGTTCTTTACAAAAATCGCGCGCAGTATGGAAATGTTCGCCCTGGCAATGGTTCTACAATCTAAATAATCCACAAATAAACTTTTTTTTCTGTGGATATAATCGAGCCTTTCCACACCGCGAAAATTACCATTTTCACAGTAACTGATCAACAAAGTCCTTTTGAGTTTGAAATTAACTTGGACACGTATTACTGAAAACATGCCATTTCTGAATCAGCCGATAATACGCTTAAGTCTGTCGATTGTTTTCATGTTACTATACAGCGTTGAATGATATATAAATTCGACAATGTTACAACAGTTATGAAACAAATTTCTCAGACTTTTAATAATCACTCTTGCTTGTCCGGATGGAAGCGCGCCGAGAGTCTTAATCAGGGAAGTGTTAGTGTGCCTTGAAAAAAACACGTGATCGGGCAGGTGATTCAATACCTGTTCACGTCCGACCAGGAACCCTCTCCCACAGACTGTGGTTTTATGTATATACCGAAATCTCCCTTTGATTTCATTTTGTATATAACTGTTTGGGCAGGCCACTTACGTTGATCGATTAGCTTAGTCGGTTATAGCGCTAGTACAACAACCTGGAGTGCAGTGTTCGATCCCTGGTCTAGCCCCCCTTAACCTGTTACACTAGGAGCACTGTTGATTTTATTTGGTTTGTTTCATTTTTTGTAGCTGTCCCACAATGTATGGTTTTCATTTTCGAAACGATTTATGAAAGGCATAGTCAAATAGGAAAATGATTATGTTTTGTCCAGAATCTGTTGCGAGATCAACGCTGTTGTTAAAGAAAATGGGATGAATTCTGTTAAACTCTGACCATATACTTTATATATAAGAGATAGATATATTAAACTAGTTTATTTTTGAGAGGAACTACAAAATTATTCAATACTTCTCTGTGGTAAAATTGCGAGAACCCATCATGTAGTTTTGGGTGACAGGGTGGTGCAGTGGATAGCGCACTTGCCTTTCACCAAGGCGGCCGGGGTTCGATTCTCCAATCGGACGTGCAAAGGTATTGGGTCGCCTGCCCGACCACGTGGGTTTTCCCCGGGTACTGCGCTTTCCTCCCCCAAAAAGACCCCCCGCGCGCCAGCATCCGGACCCAAGTGATTTATATAAGTTAAAAAACAAGTTTCATAAATGTTGTAAAATAAATAAAGTTTACATATCATCGAGTTTTTAATACTTTGACGGCAATTCTTTATTTTTGTGATACATATGGTCGTGGTGTTGTTGTTTGTTTATGCCGACATATAAATAAATCAAAACACAGGTGTCATTTAGTTGCGTTGTAAACCTAAAGTTTATTTGAAATTCAACATAGTAATCAATGGCAAATACACTTTTTCCAATAGATGTGTTACACAATAGTATAACATGTTAATCAGGATACAACTATTTGATTGCAACAATAACAAACAATAGCCTCTCGTAGGAATATTGTGAAATTGTTTCTTGTATGTTATTATACTGAAGCTAATGATAATTACTTCAATTAATTTAACACATCCTTTGAAACGTATTACGTTGAATATCAGAAATTAGTATTTTGATTTCACAAACAAATGTCATGGAGTTTGTGACACGAGTCACCCTCTATTGTAGCACTTGCAGCACCCGTCGAATAGGAACCAGGCCACGCCATACCTTTTGTCTGATCCTACTTGTTCTGTGTCATATACACCGGTGTAGAGTACCTGTTCAACTTCACACGTGCAAAGTTCACATCCAGTAACCTGTCTAATAACATAACACAAATTCAGTAAGATAAAATCTGATTTATCGCATACAGGATAAAAACATTTTTTTTTGCCAACAATTATTTTCCCTATAGTTCCCAAACATTTTTAGCGATAATTGAATTTGTGAAAGGAACAACTCTTTACTTTGGGTTGTGTCCGAAAAAACTATTGCCGAGATATTTAAATGTTCTGATCGTTTTAACATCTCGCTGAATAGTTTGTTTTGTTTCTGTATGCAATGAGCATTAAACTTTCGCTGTATAATCAACTAACATTTACTTAAAAAAGAAAACGAGGATGTGTTTCATAGCGGACAAACACAATTCTTAATTTATCAATATAACATCAGATTACTTCATAACACGATTTTTACAGTTGGAAAATCGAGTTCAAAATTAGTAAAATATTTTATGAAGAAATATCATCACTGAAAATATTCTTTAAGATAATAATATACGGATATCTACATATGTATCATAGAATGCTCATTATGTTCCATTTCAAGTTTTTTTCTCTCCTAAGAACTCCTTTCTATATTCCTTTAATTTATTGCCAAAATTGTGTACGATGGCGCAAAAACCGTAACAGACTAACAAAATCATTAGATTTAGTACATCTTTAAAGTCTAAGGTTTCCGCTCTCAATAAACAGTTCTCTCCGCACAATTATATTATGTCACGACAAAATCAAAGGCTCTTGATAAGATATTTCAGCAACATCAACCTTCAAAACCTGTCGATTTTACCCTGAAGCTGCCGTGCGATTCCTTAATTTTCATTTAAGACAGCAGATTAGTCTCCTTGAATCCTTTGCAATGTGTCTTTTAAAGAGCCTTCACATTTCTCATGACCTATTCCAGTCGGGGAGCGCGAAAGATGAAACCCTTTGATTTCGGGAAAGGGTTCAGTATGGAAATATCACTTACGCGCATGTTTCTGTCCGGAAGAACTGTCGTTGGTTGCCAAATACCGCCAATTTTCTATCCACACCACGGTTGTCTACTTTAAATAATGGTGACGAATACTGGATATTCCTGAAAGAAATAGGTGTGTTTTTTTAAATCCACTAATTTACCAATTTGCCATGATTTCTAATATTTCAACTATAATACATGAAGAGTTTCACTTCACTATATACAAGATATATGCAAAGTCAGTACGCATCTATTTGAATATTTATTAAATCGATGAAGAAATCTAATCATTTTCGCCCTAATTATAGGATTATTTTGTCCATGTAGGACAATTAAGTGATGCTAAAGGCTAAAAGGATGCAAATAAGTCTGAATGTGTTCCGAAATATATGTAGCAATGCATGTACAGCTTTATTTAGTCTTAATAACAATAAACCATTTAGCCATATCAAATGTTCATATGAACAGGAGTATTTACGGGCACCCCCCCCCCCCCCCCCCCCCCCCCAAAAAAAACCCAATAGAATACCGAGGTGTGTTCAAATTGCTTCCATTTGTGTCCCTTAAATCTTACATGTAGATATCCGGTGGTCGGTTTATGTTATAGGGAGACTTTTTTGAAATAAGTGTAAATCTGAAAGCAATATCGGTTATGAATAAAAAATAAAAATATGTATAAGATTTTACGGAACCATTATTATTGTAAACTTAGATACGTCTAAATTTAACAATACCAATGGTACTATTACTAAGAAATATTTCGAGACACTTTAAGGATATTTTTTTCTTTTTAAAACAAATCTTGCGATGCATGTTATAAATATTCACTTCCTCAAAGTTGTTGCAATAATTTGAAACATAAAACAATTTCGACGGACATCTTCCTATTTTACATTTTACAAATGTTGCTACCGAAGAGGTGTAAACGAATAATATCAAAAGTGATTACCGTTGCCGAGGGCATCAGCTCAAAGATAGGAATACTAGAATTCTTCGATGTACGCGCGACAGCATAACGGTAACATTTACCGGCTTTTCCTCTGTTTTCTCTAATGACGAGTATTAGCTTAGCCTTTGGTTAGGTGTATTTATTGTGATACTTATTAAATAGGTTAGTGCCTACCATTTTGTTATGATATATTCCATGATTGCAAAAAGTGTAAGTGAACGTAACCCCTTGAGTATCAAGAATGGCACGATATCAACGCTTAATCATACAGAGGATAGCAGAGAATGCGATGATGCTAATCTCTATCGCTTTCTGCAATGTTGCGCGACCCATGTATTATTTTCTTTTTTTTTCACGATACTTACGATACACAGCAGGAATGGAAATCTTCCACAGCTGGTGTCAGTACACACCAAGGTGTTGAACGTGGGTTTTCCACCCCAATAGTACAGATGGCAGAATCAATCGTAATGTTCACCGGGATATTACGTCGAATGCTTTTTTCCAAAGTCTCCTGCTCCTCGGAAGTCCGGAAATATCCAGGAAATCGCTCCAAGACAGCACGATCTGACTCGCCCAATGTGCTCATTGAGATTTGACTTCAGATGAATATAATATAACATACATAAATATAATATTTACATAGATTTATGTTATTAATCAAAGTGTCTTATACAAAAGTGTATGTTTATCTGAAAGTTTCAAATAGAAACTACCTGTCGTAATTCTACTTTGTCTGCTACGTAATAACATTTGTACAGCAAGTATTCATGCATATATCTATACATTGCTATCCACGCACTCATATCGTCAATAAAGAATTTTGAGATGATCGGGCTGTCGACAACTGCAACATCGAAGACTCCCTATTAAGAAGCTGAGGTGGTGTATTGGTAGGGGCTGCAGAAATTGAGAGGCTAGGCGGTTTGATGCCGCAGCTCATGAGTTGGACGCCCGGAAAGGGCACGAGCTATAAAATTGTATATCTCGTCACTTGTGTTTCGGTGACATTTATCCAATAAATAAACACACTGTATCGTGTACCTTGTGTTTGTTGATCCAGATGTGAAGGCATGAACTATATAGAAAGAAACATATTTGAACCAGTAACCTTGTTATTATTTGACATATGCTAAAATTCCATCCTAATATAGGTATGGCTGTGTTTTAGTAAAAGTAAATATATTTTTGCAAAAAAAGTGTTTAGTTTTGTTTTCCTTTGTCGTTCACTCAACTTATATGTTGGACAGTTACAATACATATAATGACATGAAAATATATTAACTTTTTGATTCAATTGTTATATTTATTGTATCATGAAAGCAATGTCGTGTTATATTTATAAAAAATCTTATGAATTTTTTACCACATTAATAGCAATTAGTTCAGCCCTTACTATATATATCTTTGTCAAAGCAAATGTCACTGTACTATGAAAGCGGTCATTGTCACAGTACATTAGTTCGTAAGAGGTCTACACGGAAACATTTATTCATAGATGATATAAAATACAGATACACGAATTTCTGGACATATTTTATTAGGAAAGTTTCCACACCACAATCAGTTTAACGAGTCACAGCGCGAACATTTCCACCCGCGAAAAGTTATATTTTTACAGTAAATGATCAACATAATAGTATAACAGTATAAATACCTTTCAGCCACAGGCTCATTTGAAGATTTCTGACCGGAAAACACTAGGATGATCAGGACCAATATCACACACGATAACAAAATATTGGCTCCAATCTAGAAAATGAAATGATGTATGTAATTTTAAACATAAAGAGGTCAGCCTCGGGCTCACTCTAAATGAAATTGTTTTCAATGAAAGTGCCAACAAATGAATTTAAATGGAACTTTTCGATGAGGGATCGATATGTTAAAGTTAAGATTCTGCTTCTAGTGCAATGACTGCGTATTAGTGACAATAATAATTCTGTTGTTTTTTTTAACTTTATTAATTTCTAGGATTTTTTAAATCGTATTTACCAAGCAACATTTTATTGTGATGTTGAGTAGTTTTTACCATCTTCTCTCTTTGATGATAAGTTTTTTAATTTTGTCGTATTATTAAATACAAATAAATGTACCAGAAACGTTTTTTCTCGACTGTGCTTTGTCAATACACAACTATTTATGACGTTTCGTTGTCTACACCAAGTGTTTAAAAAATGTGTATGTAGCAGAGTCATATTTTATTGTATTTGATATTAATTAAATACTCTGTGTTATATTCTATGTTGTTCCCAGTATGTTATTTGTATGTGTTGATATTATGACGTACATGTCCTGTGCTGTGATCCTTACCTGTGATGTCTACCTGTCTTAACCTTTATAGTATCCTATGGAGTGGTTATGTAAGGTCCAGTATGTTATTGTTTATAGTCGATTTTCATTGGTCAGATATTTTGTATAGATTTCTGTTACTATTGGTCAGTCTTATATTGGTCACTTTTGGCGGGATTTCATTGAGTCAGTTTAAGGATTTTGTAAGAGAGCACACACGTTGAGTTGGACACCGATACATACATCTTTTGACAGTACGTTTTCTCTATTATCTAATATTAATAATTTCTTCACAGTTAAAGTTAATTTTGCTAGGGTTCTAGTTAATCTAAATATATTTGTAGTTTCTAAATAATTGTTAAATGGAATTTATTCATAATTATGTGAGGTTTAAAGAATTGACCAAGTAATATGTATTTCTTATATTTAGTGTATTTCATGTCTGAATCCTCATGACTATTATTACACTAGGAAGAACAATAATGTTTACTAAAGTATATATATATCTGTATATTGACATTTACTATTTTTAAGAGAATGGTTTTATTTTATTTATAGATCGAATAGTTCAGTACTAAGTGATTCGCTCGTTTGATGGCATCGGTTTCCCAATTCCTAGCCCTGCGCCATACACAAGTGCATGATATGTACATTTTAAGTAATTTATATTTCCATGAAATGTATATTCTAGCTTTAGTTGTTAAAGTTAGGTTTATCATTTTCTTTCTAATTTCTTTTGGATTAACTGGTCAGTAGATTATTATGTAACTATTTGTAATGATATATAATTGAGAAACAATAATTGTAAAATATTGTCAAGTAATTGCCATGTATGCTGTGTAATTGTAACGGTATGAAATAGTAGGCAGTACAGAGTTATGAGTTATGTCCCTTTAGTATATGTATTGTACTTGTGATTCGTTGTGCTAAATGCAGTCTTTTGTGTTTGTTTACAGAGTGTATGTATCTACCTAAACACTAGGATATTGAACCATGTTATATCTGTGCAGTGGAAATGGAATAAACATAAATCTCAAAGAACTCTTGGTTATTTGTAAAACCACCCCGCTACATGTATAGTAATATACCAGAATCTCCCGGCATACCCTCATCTGGCGGCTAACGTATTATCATTTTGAAGAATCCGTAAGATAGTTAATGTTCATTGTAAAGGGGACACTGATGGCATCCTATTAACTGTAGTTTACAGTTCACATATTTCCTTTTTCCTAATGCTACTCTTTCCGTATTGTCTGTCCTGACACCCGGCATCATACATGTATGATTTAAGATACGAAACTTACGACACGTAAACGCAAAACTAACGAACTAACTCGTGACGTCAGAACTCATTAGAAAGTATCAGTTAACAACATAATACATGAATACACAGTAATTAAGTGCAACAGGGCGAAATGAACATTTGGCGAAAATCAAAATTCATCGGCGAGGGCGAAAGCTTGACTGGGCGAAAATTTGCCGGTATACAGTACTGTTTTCCGGGAAATCTTCTCCTTTTTGTCGCCCTCCGTACATGTATATATACGTAGCAAAGGCGAATTTTTCATTACCCAAACTATTAATAATCAATATTGCACATTGTAGTTAAATTTGAGGGGCGAAATTCCTACTGTGCAAATATGGATGTTACCGGCGAAGGGCGAAAGTTTGACTTTTAAATAGCCAGTTTTATATCAAAATAATCTTATCCTAGAAATTCAATTCACCTATGATGCGTTCATATTTTTATTAACCTTATTCTGAATTACTTACAAGAAGAAAACTAGACCTCGAAACAGATCCGGAATGGCGATTTCTGCCATAAGTCCTTGAATCACTCATTTCAATGTTTTCGTGTGAGCTTTCCATCTGCAGGAGTACATAGGTGAACAATCAGTACGCAAATGTATTGAGTATATCAATATATAACTGAAAGGTTAGAGGAAAAAACTATAATTTAAAACGAACAACCAAAACACGATGTCAGGGCTGGTAGTACCTAAAGGTATACCCCATCTCGTCTTGGGAAAATAACAATTTGAAATTGATAAAAAAAACAATATAACAGCGAGTTCAGTTAAGGTTCTTTTGACACGTGTTGCAATTAAAAGCAATCGAAATCCAACGACAAGAATTTCAAGAAAACGTTTTCGGGATGCTACAACTAGTGTTGGTTGTTGCTTCCAATATGGCGTTCCTCTCTCCCTCAAGTTATATTATTGTATCACAAAACTGACAAAAAGCCATACACCTACCTAATTTGCAATACCCGTTGCGTGTCCTCTTATTAGAAAGGACAGGTCAGTTATCTTGCTGTAGTCAATGAGCCCTGTCGACGAGCAACTATTTATTTTCGATTTCCACCAAAAGGTGATATAACGTATAAACTAAGAAATCCAAATGTCATCCTAACGAATTGCAGTTTTTTTTTTATTGTTTGATTGAAATATCAATGGGTTTAAATAAATATGATCACATCAATTATTTCTAAATCAACAAAACCTCTACGGGAAAAATCGATTCCCGGTCTTTCCAGTGCATAGTTTCAGGAAAACAGATATTTATTTTTACAACCGGAGTTATATTAATGTTTTGTATGTCATAATACGCAACTTATTGTATCGCAAACATAGTTAAACCGTCAATTTTGAAAGGAAGATGGCGATACACTGTGGTGAAATAAACATTCGCCTGCTTTTTTATTCATGTGTTCATGTTACTATACTGTTAATAAATGAATGACTAAATATGTAAGTCTGACCTATTTCTTTCGACTAACTTCCTGTCCTCTAGATATACCACAATAAAACACTAGCAAATACAGTTTACTAACCTGAATATAAGGTAGTGACTCGATCCAGAAAACTCTTAATATTTCGCCGATTGATTAATTATTCTACAAAAAAATAAATAACGCATAATTAATTGGTTAATAGATTGATCACAACAGTTTACGTTCCTTGCTTACATAAACACACACACACACACACATGCATACATACATACACACATACAGACAAACGTATGGCTTTACAATCCAACAGGTAAGATGTACGGGCTGCAGAATGTGTTATGTATGAAGTTATATACATGTAGCTGTTTACTGCTAGCTGTACAGCCAGACTTTTGCAATCAATGTTATCTGACATAGATATAGATATTAACCAATGCTAAATCATCTTCAGTAGTACCGAAAAATATACCAAATTGTCAAAAATATCATTTCACATTTCTGTTACTTATTGATAATCATCGATACTTCAGGAGTTACGCTCACTTCTATCTGAAACGGATAAGTAAATATAAATTTACTATATGTAAAAATAGAAGAAATACCTGTTTGTTCCGTGTCTGCCTCGGTCCCATCAGCTAGATCGTGCCTTCGATTTATGAGAATGTGTGAATCAAGTCGTCTCAATCATATTTAAACACGTTATAACAACGGATACTGCCTACATGGTTTTTTCCGGGAAATAAAAGAGTATGGGCGTGGAAATAAAGAGAAGTCACGAACTTGCTATAGTATGTCCACCATGCATGGCGAAGACAATCCCGGACATAGAAGTCGTCTATACAACATCAAACCGGATGTCATCTTCCACTTAACGAGTGTGTGGACGAATGAAATTACTGCACTTCATGTCTCAGCGGTAAATACGTGAAACTACTTTTCTAGCTAACGTGGGTTAAAAAATGTTAGTGTATGCAATTCATGGTTCATGGATTTTTGTTTTAGACTTTGGTGATTAATGATTTTGTGGGTACACCTAGAGAAGGTAGTCTAAAGTATGAAAGTATTTTTTACGATGAGAGATTGAGATAACAGTAAAATAGTTCATTTAATGTTTAATACACTCCCATTTAAAACAAAATTCTGATAACACAACACAGAGCAACATTTAAAACAGTTTTATACCATTTTTTTAATTATTTTTTTTTGATAACATTTAAATGACGTTAACACCATTTGTTTAAACTTTGTAAAGGTTTTATCATGATCATGATATTTCTTAAAACAGGGAAGTTTTGTGCCGTTTTATTTTTGTCCGTAAAGGTGAGGACAGAATCTACAAATATAAGTATATATATTCAGTCCGCCTGAAGAAGCTCTAGATGGCAGAAAGGCCTAGCGGTAGATCTTACATATTCATTATTTTATTCTATACATATGTCCATATTTAATCAGCAATGATGGTAGGTATAAGACATCAGAGAATACTGCACGAGTTATAATATATACCTAATTTTTGTAGGGCTTTATTTCTCCTTTACTTGCTGTTGAGAAGCATACCCACCACATATGAAGATGGGTGTGTCCATGCGAAACCGCTTATCTGATAGAAACTTTCCACAGTAGTTCATTTGAACAAACTGTGAAAATGTGACTTAAACTAGAAAAAAATGTTTTTGTTACATAATGTGTTTAGTTTAAACATATTTATTGCCAAAAGTAGACAAGGCATTAGGCACAAGTTATAACAAATTGTCAACGCCTTCTCCCAATATACATGTTAAATGATATTATAATAGTGACATTAAGTATATACGTGTATACCATTGTAATCTAAATTTGAGCTTAAAATCTCTTGCTGGATTTTACAAAGTTATGCACATATCTAAAACTGTTAGTTTTAAGGTCCACGGACAATTGTGAATTGCCAAACAAAATTATTTCAAAATTTAACACAACATTGAAATTATTTAAATTTTAAACAAGAACACGTCTTTCGTTTGTAAAAAGGTGACATGCCAAAAAAAAGACATTCTCACAAGGATGACCACAATTGCATGCTGCACTCTCAAAAAGGTTAACTCTGTCGAGGTCATAATTAAGGGAACTGCACTGGTGTTGGAGCTTAGTATGCAAAATATTAAGTTTACGATTTCCGAAAAAGGTAAATAGGTGGACTTAACTGAACATTTGATGTTAAACAGCATTTGAATGAATTTATAGAGGGCAAGGATCGAACCGAATTTTCTTGTGAGGAATCTTATAATCATATGATAATATTATGTGGTGTTTTAAATGACCATGTCTAAACATTTTAGATAAAAGGTGCTATAATATATAAAGCATGTCTAGCTTTCAAAACAACGTTCATTATTACAAACATTAAACTTATGTATTCTTTAAGTGCACACGACCCTTGGTTTCCCATTTATAAATATGCCGGTGAAAAGATATTATCGTAACAATTTACTATGATACGTGTGGTTGTTCAACGCCACTTCCAGCTTGTTCTGAACCTAGTCCGCCTCTTGACAGATGAATATAGAGAAACTTAACCCCAAATGACCTACCCAGATGCACTTAAGATAATATCACCATTACGCAGCATTCAATTGGGTCACTACATAATAATAATAATAATAATAGACTTTATTTATACTCGATAATAACATGTTGAGTCACAGACTCTTCTCATACAAGGCCGAGAACATATATACAAGTATGTACAACAAGTATATACAAATATGTACAACGAAAGAGACTAACATGCTATACTGCCGATTAACTATTTCCTTATGAAGACGTCGGTCTTAATGTCTCATTCTAGACGAAAATAATCTCGCTTTGCACCATTTTAATAACTAAATGTACAGGTTGAAAGTATCCAAATTACAGATCTGTATTCCGATGCTAAAATAATGGTCATCTAATATGATTTATCAGGGGATTAATATTTCGGTTGACTATACCATCTATTACGGGTGTGGTTGAACCTTAACAGTTAATGTCGTTGGTACGGGGAACTTTAAGTAATTTAAACGTCACCGTTTCATTCGATAATTACGACATTACCTAATGCTACGATAGCTACCAATAATTCGAGTCTACCTCAAGCGCTAAGCTGAACTTTCTTTTTTTCCCTAACAATTCTTCAATGTACGACTTTCTGTTCGGAATGATTTATTAAAGTTAATTTCAGGCCGACAAAAAATATATTGTTATGATGTTTTGCAGTGGTAAGTAGATCGTTAAAAATATCCTGGATGACGATATTATATCTAATATTTTTTTATGGTGAAAGACTCAAAGTTGTATCATAGTAATGTTGTAACACTGAAATGTAACAATGAGTTATTATTACACTTATAGAAATGTTGAAATGCCTGTACACATTTGTAAGCACGACGATATTTAAATAAAACAAATAATACATATATATATGCATGACTAATTATCGATACTATCTCTATCTATCGCATTTTACGTAATACCAGAGACGTATAATAATAAATTAAACATTACACTAAACATCTAAATTTATCAACAACAATATCACGATACAAATTAGCAGCATCACTTTTCATTGTAAGTCCTTTAAAAGTATCATGACTCATTTCCTGGAATGTCAAACACATCAAAAGTGATATTGACCAATCGGATGTCTTCGTTGGCAGTTTCTCGCACGTTATACAACATAGTATGAGTACCATCTCAATGTTTTCAAATGAATCATATTTAAAAGAAAAAAGGCATACAGACACATTTTTCACTAGTAATATAGAGTATTCTTTTAGACAAATGAATGTTACGTTATCGAATCAATGACCATTAATTTGAGTAGTAAATTATATTTCTCTATAATACAATCTACTATTCATTTTTCATGTTATTATCAAAACCTGGTTGGATGGTACAGTGTTAAATGTTTCCCATTCCCACTTCCCAAATAAAATCAATTAATATAAATATCAAGACAAAACAAGCAACTGAAAGACTCTAGTCGATATTGTATATATATTTTGTATACAAAATTACACTTGAGCCGAAAATAATGCTTCTGCAAGATCACATGGGACAAAATTTCACATTGACTAGAATAGAGATATTCTGGAGATTTTGTGTGGAGGACGGTGACATCCGGGTTGATTCCAAAACACCACTCAGCGACCAGGACAACGTCAATGATGATGATGATGATGATGAGCGACGAAGAGGGTGAAGCTGAGAGTACATGATGCACGTGCTAGTACACGTATCACCGAGGAAAATATAATCGAGGAGCCTGGACACATCTTCGAATGTCTCTGCACCCCTGGAATATGTCATAGCGAATCTAAAGGCACGCGGCTAGCTATTTGATTTGTCTCGGGTAAAACAACTGCCCAATTGCTAGACTGATACCTCTCCTTTGAAGATAACAGGGGAGCGACACCCGACATCAAAGCCAGTCAATTTTACAGTAACGCGGCCGCTATATTCTGTTGATGTACATCAAATAATTAACAAGTCTTCTTGTCTCATCACAATGTGGCGCACACCTTCGATTTTGCTTTGACATGTTCCAGGGGTGCAAATAACACAAGTGAGCGTAACAAATGGAGTATCGAGGATGCGCAGGGCAACGCTTAAATCAGACTATTGAAGGCAATCAAACGATCCTATAGATTCTCTTTGTGGGATTTGTAATATCAAGGAAATCATTTTGTCATCCCTTACTTACCCTCCTACCTCCTACATAATAAGAAAAACATATAAAGAAAATCCCTTTTCAAACGATGATTCAAATACATTCCGGGAAAAAGGGCTTTAATTACGGCTACTTATCTTAAGACTAGCTTTTACATAATTCAACATACGTTATACACACATATAAAACAAATCTACGATATACGAGTATGTAATGATGATACTCAAATGTATTTATATCATATATTTTCATAATCTATAAGATTAGTTAAGGGGAAAATTTGTATTAAACTGTCAAACCTAGCCTAAAGGAAGATGAGGCATTGAATCAAAGTACATGGCGTCCGCTCATTACAAATGTAGTCAATAACTATTAAAAACAAATTATGTTTGAATATGTACAAAAAGAATAAATAAAAAGATAAATGATATGCACAAGAAGATAGTGTGCGAGATTGTGTTTAGCGGCCAATATTTAAAAAAAAACAAAAAACTCTGCTCGTTCGTGTCGGGGTTTCTTGTATATTAACACCAAACTGCATTTAATGTGAACTATTCTTTTCTTTTCAGTGATTCTGTTATTGAGATATTACTTTTCGTCCCAGCATAGCATCTATTCTTTTAAGTCATTTAGCGAAACACAATGCTACAGTTCGTCGTAAAAATTGCTTTTGGCTAATTAACTCATCATTGTGAAAAATTCTGTGAAATGGCTAATTACGTGGAGGAGAATTGCCGAAAACTGTCCATTCTGTGAGAGAATGGATTGATCGAGTAGGGCCGAGATCTGTCCATTCTCTCACATATTCCGTCTTTGCGTATTGCAGAGTTATCTTCTCTTGGGAGCAGGTATTGATTGTTACGTCACTTATTTGTGAGAGTAACGTCATCAATTTTTGAGAAAACGACGCAATTTTCTCACACAAACCAATGACGTAACAATCAATACCTGCTCCCAAGAGAAGATAACTCTGCAATACGCAAAGACGGAATTGGACAGGTTCAGGCATGTTTTCCTTTTTAACACACAGTACCCCCTTTTGTATTGATAATGAACACCTTGTTATGTTAAGAATGGTCAGCTATTGAACAATGCATAGGTAGAGACGTTTACAATGACGAGGCATTGGTGTGTATGCAGCACGAGTAATGGTAATAAAATTCACATTACCAATAGAAGCGCTAGATAATTCTATATCTGTGTGTCATATTTCATCAATTATCTAGCTAAAAATAAAACAGGAAAGTAATTTTCCGGAAGTAAATTATCATAGAATCCGATCATTAATGACGTAACTTGAAAGACTAAGGCACTTTGCTGGATGTAACGGATTAGAGACCAGTAATGTGTAATTTAAAAAAATTTGATGAAAAAGGTTAACATAGTATGTAAAAAAAAATATGAATAAACATAAACACTGTCATTTCATTAAACACAATATATTTTCTTTATAAGGTATTAACTTTTGGTAATCCTCTGGCACCCCACCCCTTTTATCCTTTAGTAAGAATGAACCAACAGTCAATGCCGTCCTATTGCCAATTCTTTATCATCTGAATTCCATCCTCTGTCAATATTGACGATTGCGGATCGTTGTTGTCTTGTGCTGTAGTGCGCTGGTATGCACAGTGTTTCAGTGGGTTTTCTTTGCATAAAAACAGGGATGTAGAATTACAATATAGGCCTTGTCATGATACAGCATACATATGACAATTTTCCATAGGATTGTGATAACATTAAAGCTGAGCAAAAATAATGTTACATGTATGTACGGAAATGGCAAACTCGGGATCTGATCAAGAACATCAAATACTTGAGTTATCAGTTTGCTACCAAATTTTATCTAGTATACAAATGGCATGAAAACATAAAACCAACTACCCTGATAAAATGTAAGTAAGGAGTGTGTGCTAGTTGTGTTGTAGATTTTTTATTTGTTCGATTATGTTATATGTGGTGCATGTCCTGAACTCTGCTAGTGTTTCTGATTGGTTGACTGTTATGGGTAGGAGGTGCCACTGTGTTAATTTTTGTTGAAAATATTTTCAATGAAACTGGTTTCAGCTACGTATGGTTGTCACAAAACATCAACAACCAGAATAATAATAACCTACCTCAGATTATTTTAGAAAGAATCTAGAGTCAGTATTTTCAACTATGGTTTGATACCGTCTATCATTCTGGTTAAAGTATATGTTATAGAATGTTTAAAACGAAATAAAGCTAGAACCCTATCTTTTGATCTTACCGAAAAAAATAAGAAATACCCCAACACGTTAATAACGTTATCGAACATGTAACCATCGACTTCCGGTTGAAGTTGGTAGGTGGGAAAATGTTCCTAGGGATGAACGTATATGTTCACTTTGTGATCAGCAAGTTATTGGTGATGAATACCACTATGTATTTGAATGTAGCTTTTTTCGTACTAGAAGACGTAAATATATTCCCAGATATTATTTCCGGTTTTCAAAAACAATCAACTACCGTGAACTATTTTGTACAACTAATATGAAATTAATGAAAAATCTTTGTAACTTTCTGAAATGTGTTATGCAAACATTTCAGTCTCCAGACTAACTTACCTATTCCAATACTGTTTATTGTTTGTTATGTATGTTACTGAAGTATCGTTTGTATCGATCTGAGTGTTCAATAAAGTTCTATTCTGTTCTGTTATGGTATATGGAAAGAAATAATGTCTGTATGTGTCTTTGGGTGCGTAGACATGTCTGTAACTAATTATAAAGTCGTGTCCTTGACGTGTTCTGGTGTCTGTGGGCCTTAATATACATGTTTGTAAGGAGACGGATTTATAATTTTATATACGTACTCCATTCTTGTTTTCGAGTCTTTGTATTGTGTTTATTTTTTGTATGTATATACTGCAATATATTGACAATACAATACAATAAAATTTAAACTAACTTTACTCCAAATTAAATATGCGTGGTGCTTATGATTATTTTACAGTCCTTGCATGACTCTTTGCAGTTTAAGATCCGGTTGCATGTTTGATATATTTTTAGATATGTTTTAAGTTTATTATATTCTTTCATTAATTTGTAAAATTGTGTTTTGTAAACTCCTATTTAACAGTTAACCTTGTTATGTTGCTTGTGATTTAAAATATCCTAGTAGAATCGGTTTCGGAGCTCTTAAGAAGCAACTGCAGCTAGCAGTGGGTAATCTTTGAATTGGAAAGAAAAGGGGAAAATTCGAAAAACAATTTGTCAATAAATTTCACCTGCATGGAATTGCCACGCGATCAGAGAGGCGACTGTAACCCAGTGTGCAAAGAAAGACAACTCGAATAAATTTCACGCACTCCATGCTCCAAACACATGTATATATTTAATGACAAATAAATTGTCAAACGTATTTTTAACTGCACGATTTTTATTGGTTATTCAATGGAAGTTCGTTATCACTACATTTTTTGTTTTTTAATGATATCTGTATTGTACATTTTTCATGTTAATTATCAGTTTTCCTATGAATATAACATTATTCTCGTTATTTCATGATCAATTAATTAGCAATTATATGGCTAAACAATCTTCAGATGTCTTCTTGGACAGTGGGAAAAAAAGTGAAGCTATCTAAGTGGAGCTCAAATGTTTTAAGTCATAAATTATAAAGCTTATCCTATTTACGATCGAGACAATCCCCTGAAGCAGTTTTTGACACAGTCCCCTTAAGCGTCAGTCTGCTGCGTGCTTGTAATGAAAGTAAAAGTGTAAAGCGCATTGACGACGTTGGTAGCGTAGTTCCTAGAGGGCGCCTTTGTACTTCCTGCTACGTCACATTTCCTTTTCCACATCATCACACGCAACACAAGATGGTAAGCCGGTTTACTCTGAGTTTTTATCGTATTTTACGATTACGTTATTGCTAGATGCAATTTGTACTAGCATTTATCTCAACCAATTCATTCCAAAGATGAAAGAATTTGTCAAAACTTGAAAATGTCTTGCTTAAAAAACATCGCAAATTGTAATGCTAGAATCAGTTGTCACTTCGTATTTCGTTTCATGAAATGTTACGCGAATGATTGATGCAATTTCGCCAATAATTGTTCATATATAACAGGAATATGTGGCTATCAAAATCTCGTATCTTTAAAAAAGAATCATCGTGTCTGTAACCGTTGATTGTTGATACAAATATTATATATAACGAGCCCGGTTGGTTTATAGTTGCGTCAGAAATAGCATATGGTGCAAAAGTCGTTTGAAATTGATGATATTCAGCAGGATCGAGTCAGTTAAGATAGTAATAAATTTGAATCGGTAGTTTGATATTGCATTTATATCAACCTATTCAACCTCCAATGAGGAAGATCTTCCTCCTCATGATAATTCCACATGGTAAATGAGGGAGAATGCTTGAAAGCTGATGGAGTTTTCCTCATGATCAGTGGTAGTTGACAGCTATGTATTGGCTGATTTCAGTGGTTGAGTTATTCATTGATTCTTCACATCATGTTCACTGCATAATCCAACTTTTACCTTTACATGTTCGTTTAAGTTAATATTAACAACAGTCGACATTTCGAGACCCAGTAGACTACCATGACATGTTGTTTTACCTAGAGTGTTAATAGCAGTTTAAAAATACATATTCTGTCGGGATCGGAGGGGGAATTGTACTTCCAGTAAACTGAAAATGTATCTGTTGCAACAATATGCTGAAACACTGGTATACAGTTATAGTCTGTCCACATTTTCTTTCGTGATTTAAATATGTAAAATTTTGTTCATTTCTATCGAAAATTACCAGTCAACTCCCTCAAACGAAACTTGATCTTGTTTGGAAAATGGACCATTTATTCATTTCATAAAAAATGTGAGGAAGCTTTATGACTTTACTCTTTAGCAGATATAAAGCAGAATTTCAAAGTTTTAGGACAACCTTCAAAATTGACTTTCATTACAGGGAAAATCTTAAGTTAACTCTGTTAACAATAGTAAAAAAAAGGCAGGGTTGTACAATTTCATATTAAGATATCTGCAGACAGACTTTTAAATGTTCTACTAGTCAAAGCTGTGATTTCATTGTTAATCTGGGAAAATAACTATTATTATAACAAGTAATGGGCGTCGGCTAGAGGAATTAGATCACGCCTGGAGAAAGCTAAAGTTTAACTGGAATAAGAACACCCCTAAAGTCCATCTATCCTGATTTCAAAAGTACAAGGGACTAATGCTTCTACATGTATAAGCTACACACCAAAACTAGCAAAATGTGTATATATATACTACCTAAGAGGTTATGGAATAAGGTTTTCCCTGAATTAAAATCTTTAAGTATGAATCTTTAAGCAATACATCGTTGGTTTTTAAAATCTTTTAATGCTTGTTTAGTGGTATTCCTTAATATTTATTGTTGTTGTGGTTACAGCCAACCCCAGCAAGTGCCACTCGTGTAGGCTCCGGCAGCCGGAGTCCGTCATCATCCAAGACTGTCTCCCCTAGGGCTAGTGCTGGCAGTGGTACCGTCAGACAAAGGTAATTATATATATTCTCACAAGTTTCACAATTTTTTATTTCACTCAGCCACACTTTAGTGTGGTACAAGAGGTCACATTTATACAAATACATCTTATTCTGTATAACTTATAACAGGATTTACAGCATAATTAATATTTTCAATATTGTTTCTAGAAATCTACAAACTTTTTTAAGGAGAACAGTGTTGCATATTTGAAACATTCCTTTCATTTTCACGGTCGTCGTATAATTATAGTAATACTTAGGTATATATTTTTGCCTCAGTTCCGTGATCTGACTGTTATTGCAAATTATTAATAATGAATTCGTCTCCAACATCAATGTTACAGAGAGGACAACTTCTATTTTCCCTTGGGACACCTGTCCATCTTCCTATTTCGATAGATAGTTTCGAATTTGATGTTCTGAATTAAGACATTATTTCCCAATCTTTTCCCCCAAGCTGTTTTAAATATTCTTCTTAGCCAAAATCTTTCTTAAAAATAGAATAGGAATTCCCTCTGGACGTTATTGTGACGTCATGATTCCATTTTTGAATAAATTGAAGCTGTAACATAGATTTAAGTATATTTTTCAGTAGCGGCTTGCTTACAGTACATGTTTCTTGAAATATCCATACATAGTTCATTCCCGAGTTACCTAGTAATTCTTTAATATGTTGCAACCATTTAAACCTAATGACGTTATTTTCGTGTAACTTGTACATGATTTTGTAAAAAAAATCTGAGAGCTTATGACAAGTGGCTAGATTATACCAAAACATTATCATTTTACAATTAATTTCAATCTGGATAGGATATCTTCCTGTTTCTCCGTACACCATGTAATTAGCAGTGCTCCTTCTAAGATTTAGCAGTCTCTTACAAAACTGTAAATGAATCTTTTTAATTTAAGTGTTATTTTCAAATCCCCAAACATCTGCGCCATATATTAGAATTGGCAACACTATTGAGTCAAACAATTTTAACTGGAGATCAATTAATAAAGGAATATTTCTAATTTTGCTGCGTACTGCAAATAATGCTTTTTGAGCCTGTTGAATTAGTCATTCTTTTGCTTTGATAAAACTGCCATTGTAGTTAAAAACAAGTCCTAGGTACAACAAACTGTCTTCTATATCAAGTTCAACTCCTCCAAATAAAAAAGTTAACTGTGCTCTACTTTTTCGTTTAGAAAATATCATAATTTGAGTTTTCTGAGTATTAACTGAGAGCTTCCAGTTTGAACAATATAACTCAAAAACATCAAGCGCAGACTGTAGCCCTTCTGGCGTTTCTGACATAAGGACGGTATCGTCTGCATATAATATAATAAATAACTTCAGATATGTTCCAATGGTATCAGCACTTAGTGTTTCTACTGTACTGTATATAACCAATTCACGTTGTTTTCTTGATAAAAAACTTCTAAATCACTCGGGTACAAAGCAAACAAAACAGTTTTGTCAGTTCCGTGCACACATCTTTATAATTACTGTAAACCTCTATGGCATATGTTGAAGCAACTAATGTTTTAGCAAATGTTGTTTGGTCCTATAACACACATTGCTATTAATGACAATCTTAATAAAGCCCAGTATATTATTTACATTTTGATAGGGTAGTTATGCTTTATTTTGTTATTTCAAACAGTTTTTGAAAAGCAAATCAAGTGTTGACAAAATGAGAAATTGATGACGTTACGATAGCAAATGTTGATATAGTCTAGATCTCATAACAATATTTGTCTTCACATTGCATTACAATGGAAGGATGCAGAGCAAATGTAAATATATACATATAACTGGTATTCCCTGCATTAAAAGTCATTCCCCAAGACTGTCTGCCCTAGGCAGACATTAGGTAATTATTCACAGTCCAAGATACGCCAGTTCCATACACACATCCTTACTTGCTGTAAATTTCTATGACATCATGCGTTTACATGTACAGGTAGTTCTTAAATTTCTTAAAAAAAAGTCCATAGTATGGATAGATCAAACAACAAAGCTTAGAATCATGCTACAATTCACTGACTTCGCTATTTAACCAAAAAAGGGTTCATGGTTGCTCTCCTTCATGTCTAATACTGTAGCATCTATATTGTAACAATCCAAATTTGTTTGCGCAGTGATGTCTATAAATACAATTCTATCGAACAAGGCCAGTCTTAATAAAATGTGTTTGCCTAAATCTAACCCAGGATTTAGGAAAACGTTGTTTATTTTTTTTAAATTCATGTATTACTTATTTAAAAAAATGTTATTACTTTTTTTCATAAATATTTCCGAAATGTTTTCGTTGAAGCAGAGAAACTAAAGAAATTGATTTACAACTGACTAACTAAATTTATCAAAGTTATACAATTAATAAATAAAATTCAAAATTTCAACGCAATGTTATTGCAGAACAATGAATTATAGGTCCAACAGCATCAATTTTCCCCCATAGGTCACATTTGAATTGTGTGGCCGTTGATCAGCAAAGTAATTGTCTCAATCAATACTTCCAAATATGCAAACATCGATGAAGATAAAATCCCAACCGATAACCTGTCTTGGTGGTGTTGATTATATTTGTTCCAACAGAGCAAATTTAGGAATCTGTGGCTACTTAACACTTACAACAGCCTGATACTTTGTAATCTGACTCATACTTGCTGTAGCAGCTTGGTATTTGTATGTAACAATATTCATATACTGTTATTTTAACAACCAAATGCATGCATAACAGTAAATTTGTGGTTCATAGCGGCTCAAAATGCATGCGTAACAGTTCAAATTCATGTCTAATGGTACTGTTCTGTTACGTGGAGAACACCTAGTTAAATACAAAAATAAATCAGTAGTTACATGAGTCTACTAATGGAAATTTTCTGGAACGTCAATAGGCAAAACATTAGTCTTGTAATACAAATGTAGTAACATGAAGTCAAGGGTGAGACTAGAATAATCACTATCGTACTGCTGTTATTTCAATCTGTGGCACTTTTTTTGTCAAATCTCATAAAAAAGTTAACTCGAGAGGATTTATATTTCTGACAGAAAAGCACCAGCATCAGGAGGGGCTAGGAAGACGACAGCTGGTGGTGGCACGGGAAATGCTGGCATGTGGAGGTTCTACTCTGAGGATTCACCTGGAATCAAAGTGTAGGTTGAGGTTTATTCTTCTACAACACTTGATCTAGTCTGCTAAATCTCACTATAATTTCAGACTTCAAATTTCTCACTGGTCAGCTGTCATCTGCTCTGTTACACATAGGGATTTGTTGTCCAGATTTGGTGACACTGATTGTGCGATTTTTTACTTGTTTATAAGTTATAAATAGGTATTGATATTTTCTTGAAACAAATGTAAAACTCGCACATCCATTGGTGCCAGATTTGCATGACAAATCCCTGTGTTTTAAAGAGCAGTTAACAGCTGACCAAAAACCTGACTGGTCAGAATTATATAGGCTGCAATTATGGTCAGTTTAAAAAATCTTCAGTTGATCCTGGGTGTATCTGTTGGGTTGGGATTCAGGTGGAGGAAAACCTATTATCAAGGCTTTTTGTGCAAAGAAGTAGGTGCTAGCGTAAATGATTTGCATATCTTCTCTTTAGCAACATCCATTATTGACATAAAATACTGACATCACCTCTGCATGTAAATGTTGTAATTGGTCAACAAACTTGTCCAAGTTTCTTCTTATAATGCACAACTGGAAGGTCCTTTTCACTTTTTATCAGAATTTAGAATTATACATAAATATTTCTTTTTAAAGAAAAGTAAACATTTATCCACTTTTTATCAGAATTTAGAATCATACATAAATATTTCTTTTTAAAGAAAAGTAAACATTTATCCAATTAAATATTTTAACTGATTTATATCAATATTTTATTTCAGTGGCCCAGTACCTGTTCTAGTCATGAGTCTGATTTTCATCGCATCAGTGTTTATGCTACACATCTGGGGAAAGTACACACGAGGATAAGACGACCAAGGGAAACAACTCCTGTTACCTTTCTAGGCAGCAGACCAGTGAATGTATTAAAAGAATCTGTGAACCCTTTTAACCTTATAAAACCTGAACTGACATTACCAAAAAAGGAAAAGTGAATTTTAAGCTGCCATCACAAGAGTTTTTAAAGAAAGTGTTGGATACATTTTATAAAATTCAGAAAAATACACTTCAGGATAAGAAAAAATGTGAAATATTTAAAACAAAATTAATGGCTGTAAAGGAATGCTAATCTAGGTTGTTTTTTCCTGCACTGTATGCAAGTTTATGGGGAGATATGATACACATCATATCTTACTATTCTCGGATAATTTCATTCTTTGTTGATGCATTTTTATATCCTTTTTTGCTAAAGCATAAATATTTGATCCTCAAATTTAAATACCTTTGTTAAAATGATGTGACCACAATGTTTAGCATTCCTGACACAAGATATGACTCTGGACATTATATAATATTATAACTTAATGTATAGTAGAGCTGGAGTGAACACTTGAATGAAAGGTTGTGAATTAGGTATGGGGGAAATGTGTACATGTGAATTCTGTTCTGGTGTTTACTCAGGAAATGAAGAGAAACATGCAAGTGTGTGGGAGAATAGGGTACTGTGTGTTGCGTGCAAGGTCAAATGAAACTGGTGTATTCTTGAAATAAAGATAACATTTTTACAAAGTTTTGTGTGTTCTTGTTGTTCATACAAGAAAGGTGCTTGATCGAACATGGGCACCATATGTCCACACTTACTGGATCTTTAAAAACTCGAAAGTTTCTCGATAATTGTATTCAGAAAACATCTCATTCAACTAAAATAGGATAGTATTTATATTGCACCATGCATTTAAAAACAAATTCATAAGTTCCTAGCTTACTTGCCCTCAACATCTAATAATCCTCTGCAAACTTTTGACTAAAAAGAGCCTACTAAGCGTGGATTCTGTGATCAGACCCACTTTCTTGTAATTCATTTGAATCATTTGACATGGTCAAAAAGTCCAAAGTTTACATTGAAAACAATTCTCTACATTAAATCTCCTTAATTCCTATAAATCTTTGTGAAATGTGAATTACATTTGGTTTATCACATCATCAAGAAACTGGGCTTGAGTACAAAATCAGAGTTTGATAATGTGTACAGTCATCATGAATACAGGCCCAGAATTGTTGAATGGTATGATGAAGTCTTACTGGGATAACTGGACTCAATGTTGTCAGCTCACCTTACCCAAAGGGTCAAGTGAATTAATGCAGTGGTGTGTCTCCGTCCATCAGGCCCATAGCTGTTGATATGGCTTAAACAATACTAAACCAAACCAAACAGTCCATCAGGGGTCAACTTTTTTACAGGAGTGTATTGATAAACGGAAGTAGGAAATACATCCCTAGTTGAAAATCCAATGTAGGGAGACAGTATCACAATTTCCGCATATTCTAATGTGTAATATTAAAATGATGAATATTGTATGTTTATTATTGACAGAACAGTGTGTTCTCTCAATATTAAAGTATTTCAACCCAATCCAGCCATTAATTCAGTTGTTTTTTATCAATGAGTCGCAATGTGTCAATTTTTCTGTACTTCAGGAAACCGGCTACCTGATTCACTTTGTGAAATTTTCCAAGAAAGATAACTCTTACATGCAATTACTAGGTGTATATGGTTTTATTATAAAATGTCATTTTTTATTCGTTTATAGATAATTAATTTTACACAATTTCAGCATTTATTAAATTGATATACATTAATGCAATACTAATCTATGTCAGTATAATTTTTATTGACATTATTTTGCCAAAAAATGTGTCTTTCATTTTTTTCTTCAAAATTAACTCCTTTTTACATAAATTTTCATTTTAAATCCTTAAAATTCTGATAACCTATATTTTTTCGTTGGCAGAAAATTTCGTCTAATGAGAAATGGTTACACAATCCCATACCTTAAGTGACTTCTGGTTAACCAATGGGTTGAGGGTTATGACATTTGTCCAGTAGCATGCTGGGAATGAATGGCTGCACAGATTGTTAAATGTAATAATCTTTACCTACTTTCAAGGTCACTGGGGTCAAATATGTTACCAAACGGCAAATGGTAATATTTTGGCCAGTAGCATGCTGGGATAAAAGACTCCCAAGTTGATCAAATGAATGATTTTGACTCACTTTAAAAATCACTGGGATCCAATGGATTTAAACAACATCTTTTTAACCAAAATGCCCAGGGTGATGATATTTGGTCAGTGCCCAACAGGAGGATAGGTTAACCTAGTTCTTGAAATGAATGGCCTTAAACTACATTCATGGTCACATGGGTCAAATGTTTATCATATATTCAAACAACTCTGAATAATACAAAAGCCATATTTGGCCATTGACTTGCAGGGATGAGCCACTTCCAACTTTGTTCAACTGAATGACCTTTACCCACTTTCAAGGTCACATGGGTTAAATGATCAACAACCCCCAAACAACCTTTACTGAATAACCAAAATACCAAGGGGTGTGATATTTACCCAAATGCTTGCATGTAAGAATGACATTGAGCCACTTTCAAGGTCACTGGGGTCAAATATTCAAACAACATCTCAATAACCAAAAGCCACATGATGATATTCAGCGAGTATTATGCTGGTTTGAATGACTTCAAAGTTTAAGTGAATAACCTTGATCCATTTTCAATGTCACAAGGGTCAAATGATTAAAAATATTTTAACAAATTTGGAATAAACAAAAGGCACAGGGTGATTCTATATGGCTAATAGGATGCTTCAAAATTAACCATTGTTCAAATTAATGACCTTCTGTCACTTTCATGGTTAAATGTGTCAAAATCATTAAAATAATTATGCTAAATAACCAAACTACAAAGGATTGTGATATTTGGCGTGTAGCCTATTTAAGTCCATCTTAATATATTTAAACTTGGTACACTTGTAAGGTTACTGCTATGAGATTAAAAGCAAGTGAGCGATGTAGGCCCTTTTGGCCTCTCCTTTAAAATGATGGTGTATGTCCCACTAGGACACAGGGGTTGTACCAATGGGTCATTTTGGAGAAATATAAAGTTGTTTAAAGTATGTGGATAGTACAAACCAAACAAATTACTAAACCTTGACATAATATTGACCAATTGACCTTACTTAGGCCAAGGGAATTGTTTTATAAATGAAGGCTGTGGACCAAGGAACGGTGCAAAAAAGAGTATGATTTTCAAAACATGTAGCATTAAGGATCCCAAGACCAAGGTAATTTCAGCCAGTGTAAGTTCACCTCTTTTATGATATACACAGACTGTTATGAAATGTTGGAAATACATATTTGCAAAATATCAACTAGGAACAATTCAATGGCGTCACAATTTCTGAGAAATGGTAAAACTGTTGGTGTTTTGTCTTTGGTCCATTGTTTTGGTTTTCTACCAAATTAGCTCAAAATGAACTTTTTAAAATGCTTTGGTTTACTATGTATTAACAAAAATATCTAAGGCATTTCAATAATATATGATTTATATGGATCTCACTAAAGTCAATCAAAGTCCGTTTTATAATTTCAAATATTATTGAAATACGTTTGAAATCCTTTGCTTAGCACGAAGTACATTGTGTATCATTGGACGTCGTGTCTCGCCACGATCGGAAGGGTAAGACACTATCGAGGGAAATGCGGTCAAAGCTATCTCGATTTCTAAATAGCGAAAGTAAACATTGGTGCAAAATCACACCTCGTGACCGTTATGTTTTGGAAGTCTGATTTTATTGAGCTGATTTGAACATAAAAGGGCTCGGATTGGACGTGTTTTAGCTGCACGTGTATCATGAACGATTATTACAAAAGAGGAAAATGACTGACAATTATCCTTAAAATGATTTTTTTCTTTCTTAACAAAGGGATATCGTGTATTCTCTATCTCAAAGGTTGTGCTCTTAACATACTGTCATTAAAGAAAATATATCGTTACACCTTGGATTATACAAAGGTAAAGCATTTTAGGTTGAAAGCATCTCAAACTAAGTACGTGCAGTTATTCTCAATTGTGTATATAACAGTAGTAAAATAGATTAAATAACATGCACCTCAAGTGCGCTTCTAAAACGAACAGGGTACATCCGGTTAAAATGGATATAGGAGAGAACACTGACTTGCGCTCGTATGGCACTTTATAATATTGTTTTAAATTTAACATTTCAGAAAAAAACTTAATTGCGAAAAAGAAATTCCCTTTTTCGCGAAAAGATGAAGCAACAAAAAGTAATTCTGATTTCAGAACGCCAACATCAAGAACTTGTGAACCGGGCTAAAAGTAAGTATTTCTTGATCTACCACGTCTGCGATGTAACGATGCTTTTCATTTGCTAAAAACAATGGAGAGCCATGGGACTGTTTCATTTGTCGATAGAGCTTACATGCATTTATATGTATCCATCAACTCCGAAATTTTGTTCAAGATATATCTCGTGACTATGAAACCTGCTCGACGTTTGGACACCGCTAGTCTGGTTCCCTGCTGCGAATGCTCCGAAGAGTAAATTAATAGCGCAGACTCGTTGGAGCATTCGCAGCAGGGAACCAGACTAGGACACCGCCTGCAAAGCTGTAAAAAACAACGACAAAAACGGGCGTTTTTCCGGAGAACGTAGGAAATTTGTGCACTTCCTATCTCGGCCTAAAATCAACCTATACCTGAAACAAAACAGTGATATATTTTATTTCTGACCCTGTCTATTCTGTGTCTGCCAAACGTGCGAAATTATTGTATGCAAATGGGGCAACACTCCTCGACAATTTTTGTCAACTACCGAAACGCGAAGGAGACGATCTACAATGGGTAAACACACAGGTGATTGTTTTCATTTTTTTTTTTTGCGGTGAACTTCTAATAATTGGGAAAAGAATGAAACATAATTTAACCATCAAACAAAAACCGATATCAGACTAAACGAAAATCAATGAAATGTACGGAATGGTGGCTGATTTCGGTAATCTCGCGTTGTCTCATTGGTGAGGGTGACACGGCGACAAAATTTACGCGACAATTAATGCGACAGTGACACCTCGGAGAATTTCTTACTATTGTAATAGAGTTGTCTTTCTTTGAACGCTGAATTAAATTCGCCGCACGGAAACATATGACGAGTACTTCCAGCATGTGCAATTTGTTGAAAAGTGTTTGAAGGTATCTAAAAAAAAACACCGATTTCAGTTTGCTTCTGAAGGGGAAAAAAAGTGTCAAGTGTTGATTTCATATGCTGACGAGCGTTGGCAGTTTGTCAGTCAATCTGTAAATATTTTATATAATTGCTAGTTATCAAAAAACTATTAATAGTATCACGATAAACCTTCGATTGTTTTTTTTACATTACGTTGCTTTGAAATGATTTCTTAAGAAGAAAAGCATACCTTGCGAGACTTTTATAAGCAAAATGTAAAAGGCTGAAGGAAAATGAACTGTGTTCTGAGTGTAAAACTGCAGCGGGCCAGGTCAGGATTTGAACCCTTGATCCACGATAATTTTACGGTAAGCCTAATCAGCTGTGCTTCCTTTTAAACGGAAGTACTTGTACACTTGCGCAGAACATGGTATTTCAGTTAGGTAGCACTCTAACGTCGACATCAGATCCATACTATCGCAATTGAGTAGGTAAATTCAACATCATACTTAGTCCAGCACACGTGCATAC